CCTCCTCCTCCTCCTCCTCCTCCTCCTCCAGGCTCATTCCTGACCCTGGTGTCCAGCTGATGCTTCTGGACTTCTTCTCCTGAGCTCTGCCCCACCAACCTGCTGGGGTGGGTGATTTGGGAAACGACCCGCCCGTCCTGCCATCCGGCCCAGGGGAGCCTCCGCTGCAGCGAGCCGGCCTGTGCGGCGGGACCTGCGGGCGAGGGGAGCCGGTCGCGATGGCCCAGGGAGGGCTGGGGACATGGGGGGCTGGGGACGAGGAGGGATAGGGATGGGGATGTGCTCTGGGGGTGACCCAAGTGTGGCATTGCCTCCCGAAGGGGACACCTGTGTCCCGGATGGGATGCCCAGGGGACGTGGAGGGTGGGTATGGGGACATGTCCCAGGGGGGGACAGCTGGGGGACATGGCGAGGGACACCCAGGTATGGTGGTGTGTCCAGGAGGGGACACCCAGGAAGCGTGGGCTGGGGGGGTGCCCAGGGGACGTGGGGGACCAGTATGGGGACACATCTGGGAGGGGAAGCTCAGGGGGCCTCAGATACAGTGGCACATCCTGGAGGGGACCAGGGGACATGGATGGCTGGTAAAGCGACACATCCCAGAGGGGGGCACCCAAGGGACATGGGGGCACCCAGGAACGCCACTGCACCTGGAGGAAGGTGTGGGGAGGGTGCTGGGCACAGCAGCACATCCTGGAGGGGATGTCCAGGGGACAGGGAGGGCCGGGATGGGGACACCTCCCGAGGGTATGTCCAGGGGACATGGGGGGGTGGGCATGGGGGACACATGCCAGCAGGAGATGGAGGGCTGCTATGGGGACACCTCCTGGAGAGGACACCCAGGGGACTTGGAGGGCTGGTAGGGGGACACCTCCTGAGGGGACATGGAGGGCCTCTATAGGGACACCCCCCCAGAGGGGACACCGAGGGGACAGGAAGGCTGGTGTGGGGACACCTCTGGAGGGGACACCCAGGGGACACGAGAGGGCCGCTATGGGGACACATCCCAAGGGGACATGGAGGGCTGCTATAGAGACGTCTCCTGGGGGAACACCCAGGGGAGCCGATATGGGGACACATCCCGGAGGGGACATGAGAAGCTGCTATGGGGACGGCTCAGGGGACACGAGAGGGCCGCTATGGGGACACATCCCAAGGGGACATGGAGGGCTGCTATAGAGACGTCTCCTGGGGGAACACCCAGGGGAGCCGATATGGGGACACATCCCGGAGGGGACATGAGAAGCTGCTATGGGGACGGCTCTGAAGGGGACACCCGGGGGACAGGGGTGCTGGTATGGGGACACCTCC